CCTGACCTAGCCACTGTGATCCATGCGATGGTCACCTCCAGACTGGATTATTGTAACTCGCTCTACGTGGGGCTGCCCTTGAGACTGACCCAGAAACTCCAGCGGGTGCAGAATGCCGCGGCGAGACTCCTTACGAGGTCTTCGCTGCGAGATCACATTCATCCGGTATTATACCAGCTGCACTGGCTCCCGGTGGAGTACAGGATCAGGTTTAAGGTGCTGGTTTTAACCTTTAAAGCCCTATACGGCCTAGGACCCTCGTACCTACGGGACCGCCTCTCCTGGTATGCCCCACAGAGAAACCTACGGTCTGCAAATAAAAACATCCTGAAGGTCCCAGGCCACAGAGAGGTTAGGCTGGCCTCAACTAGAGCCAGGGCTTTCTCGGCTGCGGCTCCAATCTGGTGGAATGCTCTGTCACAAGAGACTAGGGCCCTGCGGGACCTGACATCTTTCCGCAGGGCCTGCAAGACAGAGTTGTTCCACCAGGCCTTTGGTCGGGGCGCAGCCTGACCCCCTCCTCTGGCAACCTGCACAGAATTTTGCTTAATCGGTTGCCATCAATTTGATTTTAATTAATTTTTATAATGAAATATTTTTAGAATGTGTGATTATTTGACTGTTTGATTATTTGATTGTTGTTAGCCGCCCTGAGCCCGGCTTCGGCTGGGGAGGGCGGGATATAAATAAAATTTATTATTATTATTATTATTAACCTACCTTGCAGGGTTGTTGTGAGGGAAAAATCGCCCACTGAAGATTTGGTCGCTTCAAGCAAACTTATGCGCTGCTGGGATCTGAAAGCCCAGGTTGGATTTTTAAATTTTCTGGTGCATTTTATTTATTGCTTGCCATGTTTTGCTATGTTGAGTTTAGCGCTTACATTTTTGGAAAGAGGGTTTATAGATCTGATTTGTTTCATAAAACGTATTATATGCCGCTGGACTGTAAAAACAACCTTCAAAGCACTTTACAAAAGCTATCAGTTAAAAAGCAATTAAGAACAACTATTTGAAACCTTCAAAAACAGTTAAAATAATGACTAAGTAAAAACCAGATTAACAGAATCACAGGACTGTAGAGTTGGAAGGGATCCCTAGAGTCATCTAGACCAACCCCCTGCGATACAGAAGTCTCAACTAAAACATCCATGCCTAAAACACCTCTCAACAGTTCATGTCTGGAGAAGCTCTGCCTAAACAAAATTGCTTTGAGCAGGTCCTGAGCTGTTAAGGACTTGACTGAATGATCGGTTGGTCGCATTTATATTCCCCCTATCCCTCAAGGACTTGGGGCGGAGTACACAGTTATCCTCGCCACAACCCTGTGAGGTAGATTCTGGTCCTAGCAGTCCATACTGGCTCCTTATAATTAAGCACACATTAGTGATGCAAGATTAGGAGGTCAGGAACAGGAAGCCGCCCACCTGTCCTAGCCAAGGTTTTGGGTACACAGTAGGCGGGAAACCAACAGGTGTAGCTTGCTGCGATCAGCACAGCGTCCCCTGTTGGATATCTGCCTGTCATGCAGCTGGCAAAGGCAGAAGAGCTCCTGCGTCTGTCTTTGCAACGAGGCTGGGAGCTGCCAGCTGCCTGCCCCCGAGGTGAAGGGGGCCAGTGTTTGTGGGGCTCTGGGGCATTCGGGGCACGTCCTTCCCGACCCACCGGGCAAGGCAAAGCCAAGCCAACCCCCCGGATCCTGAACACCCCCCCCCACCTCGCCCCGGCTGCTACCTTCGTCACTCGCGGAGCAGCGTCAGCAAGCGTCGCTGCTGCTCCGGCAACGGGCGCGCTAGCAGGGGCAGGTGCTGCCACCGGGTGGCCACAGGAAGGTACTGCAGGGCCAGCGCGGGCGTGACGCAAACACGCGGCAATTCTCACGCCAGCAGCAGCAGCACCCAGGCTAGCCGGGCACACGCAGCCCTCCAGAGGGATGGCGAAGAGGCCTTTTCCTTATCGGGAGGATGGCCCTTGGGGAATGGGTGGGATGGTTTTATTACGCAGGGGGAGGAATTGGGGGGGGGGGTTACCCAGCCAACACATCAGAAGCGTTGGCCTCCTGAGCTCGTGTGAATTTGACAACATCCATTTCCAGAGCAGAGGACCTCGTTCCGCCGCACGGCGTCACATGCAAATACCACCACTGATTTCAATACATTCCCCTCCATTGGACAACCTGCCCTGGGCAAGGAGACCCCGTCCCCAAACAGAGAAATTCACCAAAGAAATAGCCCAATAGCTGGTTCCATTTAGTTCCAAAGGGTAATAAAAATTGTGGTCCAAGAATGGAGGGGAGGGGACCTGACTCATGGGACGAATGGAACTGGGACACCCACGCACACCTAGGATATGTAGATATTTTCATTAACTCGCGTGAAGTGTGCACTTGAACCACGCGTGATGGACAGGGGCATGTCTGGATCTCAAGGTTTCTGCCTGGCGCCACAACTTTTTCCGTGACATACCGATGATGTTTAGATGTTGCTGTGTTAAATGTATCATGGGTAAATGTGGGAACTCTTGTGGGAATTTTTCGAGGATAGTAGGGGAGGATATATTGATTAAATATTATCCTTCCTCACTCACGCTAGTGAGCTAGTAGCAGAGCACATTCCCTTGTACGTTGCAGGAAGCTAGTGGATGGATTCATGAGAATCGTTTGCTTTAAGCAATCCAGTCTGGCTTGTCCAGATTGGATTGTTCCTGGTAAATCCCCTTTAGGTAAAGGTAAAGGGACCTCTGACTATTAGGTCCAGTCATGGCCGACTCTGGGGTTGTGGCGCTCATCTCGCTTTACTGGCCGAGGGAGCCAGCGTACAGCTTCCGGGTCATGTGGCCAGCATGACTAAGCCGCTTCTGGCAAACCAAAACAGCTCACGGAAATGCCGTTTACCTTCCCGCTGGAGCGGTACCTATTTATCTACTTGCACTTTGACGTCTTTTTGAACTGCTAGGTTGACAGGAGCAGGGAGCGAGCAACGGGAGCTCACCCCGTCGCGGGGATTCGAACCGCCGACCTTCTGATCAGCAAGTCCTAGGCTCTGTGGTTTAACCCACAGTGCCACCCGCGTCCCACAAATCCCCTTTAGTTCCCTCTTAAAAACAATAATGACACAACAGTCTTCTTTTCAAAGTAATGATAAGGTTTACTTGCATTCAGTTCACAGTATGAAGGCAGGCTTTAGCTCAGGGGTCAGCAACCTTTTTCAGCCGTGGGCTGGTCCACCGTCCCTCAGACCATGTGGGGGGCCGGACTATATTTGGGGGTGGGGAATGAACGAATTCCTATGCCCCACAAATAACCCAGAGATGCATTTTAAATAAAAGGACACTTTCTACTCATGTAAAAACACGCTGATTCCCAGACCTTCCAGGGGCTGGATTTAGAAGGCGATTGGGCCGGATCTGGCCCCCAGGCCTTAGGTTGCCTACCCCTGCTTTAGCTTGTAGTTACAGTTACAGAGAAAAGTGTGGGTTCATCCTCTGTGAGGGATGAGCCCATGTGCTGCTGGCTGAGAGCCAGCAGACAGCAAAAGGAAAAATGGAGAAAAAGGATAAAGAGAGAACGATGGCTGTGTTTTTGTAGGGTCCCTTTTGTAGGGTCTGCCAGCGTCACACCCATCTACCTGGTCACACGCAGGGGGAGGATGCTCCAGGTGTGACAGGAAGTCCTCCTGGCTGGAGCAACATTCCCCTGTGTGTACACTCTGGGCAAAAAGGAAATGTTGTATTTGACTGTTTCAGTGATATTATATCCCACAACTCTTAAGAGCCCATATGCCCTTTGTTCTGGGCTTTTTCTTCCCTGTTTTTGCTTGGGAATTGGGAACCTTATTGCAACAATAAAACGATCAAGGCTTCCTGGCTGTTGTTTTGCTTTGATTTAGCTGGCTGAGGTCTCTTGCTTGAACCTGATTAGTAGGGAACCCGCAAGTCTCTAGACCCTGGCGAAGTTGGGAAACGGTACCCCAATATTTTGTCCTTATCAGCCTTTCTGGGATCCTTTCTAACCTCACAATTCTAGGATTCTTTGCTTCATTGGAGGTTTTTAAACAGAAGTTGGGTGGCCACCTGTCAGGGATCCATTAGCTGCATTTCCTGTATTGCAGGGGTTGGGCTAGATGACCATTGGGGGACCCTTCAAGCTCTACAGTACTATGATTTTGGGTGCACACAAGGACGCACCCCTTCTCTCCACCACCCGCTTCCGCCAGCCCTTGTCCCTCCTGGCTGTTTCCCACCCATCATAAGCCGCCCATCTGCCAGACCTTGGCCAGAGCCTCCCTCTCCGGCTCCAGTTCTCCTTTGTCAGTCTCCTTTGCCCAGTGAGATGGGCCTCTCTCTCCCTGGAGAAACTGGAGGGTCTGGCATTACGGCACGGAACGTCCCGTCCCCCCTTCCTTCCTCCCTTCCTCCCAGACCCAAAGGAGACTTTACGGTTCCCCCACTTTCCTCAAATCCAGAGCCAGTTGCAAAAGGATTAAGTCACAATTATGGGGAGGGAGGAGAGCAGGATGAGGCCTGAAGGTGCGAATGGGCTGAGAGGAGGGACCCCTCAGATGAAGAGGCTGGGAGTGGGGGGCGAGGGCTCTCTGGAGGAGGGATAGGACGGCTTCTTACCACACCCCACCCTCCGAAGCCCGTGTGGGGATGTTGCCAGGGAGCTCGGCCAACGGGCCCGAGAGAGAAACCAGGGCAGGCTAGCTGGGCCTTGGCCCCCCATCTCCCCAGGAAGGGATTCCTTCGGCCCGGGTCCTCTGGCCTGGCACGGGGGAGCCAGGAGGAGGATTAACAGTTCCCTGCGCCTCCAGCGTGGCGTCGCGCTGAGAGTGGTTTGGAGCGGGCAGCCAAGGCGCTGCTAATCGAAGCCAGGTGTGGGGGGCTTTTTTGAGGGGGGGAGGCTCGGAAATGGGGGCTTGTATCCTGTCCAAGTCAGGCCGGTCCTGGGCCCACCGCTGAGCATGCGCCAAAGCCGCAGCTGCTGCTGCTGGAGGAGGAGGGAGAGAGGCGCTGGCTCCCCGCATCTGGCTTGCCTGCGTCGCCTCCTCGCGCGGTGATTAATGGCGGGGAAGGGAGGGGGCACCCAGGCCTCCCCCCCCCCCGCCGCGCCAATGAGTTCACCAGAGCCTCGCTCCAATGTGCGGAACTCGTTGAGGGGAAAAGCGCCCTCTCCGTGAGCGCGCAAGCGCAAGCGCCACCCCGAAATGCGCCTCGCGCTGCCCGCGCGCAGCCAGCAAGGGGCCGCGAAGCCAGTTTCTCGCCCTTCCTCCCCGGTTCCCGCTTGGGCACAGCGTGGAGAGGCACCCGGAGAGCCCTGTAGAAGCAGGATCAGGCCAAAGGGGGCCTGTCCAGTCCAGCCTCCTGTCCTTGCCAAGTGCCCCCGAGATAAAGTGTCTTCGGAGGTTCCATAAGAACACAAGCAGAGCCTGGGGGTTGATGGAATCGGGCAAAAAGTGGCCCATCTAGTCTTGTATCCCGCATCCAACCAGATGCCCCAAACGGGAAACCCACAAGCCAGACATGGAGGCAACAGCGCTCTCCCAGCTTGCAGTTTGGAGGTAGGCTGTGTGGGATGTAAACACAGGAGCAGTCAATGACAACATTCCTAGAGTGTACATGTTTAGAACATGGGGGGGATGTCTGTCCAGCAAGCAGGTAAACTTCCTGGGGACGGACTTCCTCCACATGTGACCAGAGGTGGGTGTGGCCTCACCTGTGCAGGTGATGACAAAAAGCACAGGGCAGGCAGCCATCTCTCTCTCTCTGCCATTTTCCTTCGATGAGGAAACATCTAAGGATGCTCTCTTGGCTCCCAGCCAAGAGAGGAGATAAGGCCTATCTTGCTATGAGATAGATTCTAAATCTATGTAACCTTTTTTAAGCTGTGCCTTCTGGGATCACATTGTGAACAGAACGTGAGTAAACTCTTTTATACTTTTATGAAGACTGTGTCGTGTCTTGTATTTTAAGAGGGAACTAAAGGGGAAATTACCAGGGTAATTATTATAGAGGTTCTAGCGAACCTGTGCACACGTTACCGTTGCGTACTTAAAGGGGAATGTATATAAACTCTGCTGATATTTTGGGAACTTGTTAGCACAAATTGGATTAGGATATAATCTCACAATATATCCTCTCCTGCACCCCAGAACATTCCCACAAAGGGTTAGTGGCCCCAGTATTGCATATTTCTGCGTATTTTTGAAGGATTGCATTGGATTGTGATTTTGAGTTGAGTAGTATTTTTCTGAGTTAACTTCCTGGTAAGCACATGGTCCTTTGTTCCATTGTGCAGTGGGGATTAAGCAACCCACCCCCTTCCCTCAGAGTTCACAGTGACCCAAGGCAGTGAAGAATTGTTTCGTATTTTGAGATTTTTGAGATTTTGATTTTAAAATTTTGAGAAATTTTGAAATTTTGAAGAATTTTCAAATTTTGGATTTTAAGATGGCTAGAGCAGCTTTTGATAGTGATGCAAAGCTAGGAATGCCTGTGCTGAATGAGTACAATTTCATGCACTGGAAGCAGCGCTTGATAGCATGTTTGGATTATAAGCACATTTTGGAAGCTTTAGAGCCTCAGCCTACAGGATCGTCTGAGGGAGATTTAGCCAAGATAAGTGCTTGGAAACGCATGAACAGCGAAGCCAGACACATAATTTTGAGTGGACTTCGTGATGAGCAGCTATCATTAATAAATAGCACAGATGATGCATCTCAAATCTTAAGAGATATTGAGCGCGTGTATGGAGAATCTAGCATAAACAGCTTCAGAAACTTGGTGTGTAAATTAACCAGATTGAGGATGAATTCAAAAGAGGAATTCACAGAGCACATCAACAAGTTTACTGAGATTATTCAAAGAATTGATCTGACTCCCAAAGCTTTTGATGAGGATACAAAGATAGCATTTTTGTTATCATCACTTGGACCACGCTTTGGTGCATTTGTAAGTTTGATGGAGCATAGACAAGGTCTGACATTTAAAGACTTGATTGGTTATTTAAAAGAAGAATGCAGATAGAGGGAATCTCCAGGAGAAATGCTAGAAGCAAGGACAGCAGTTATGCATCTAGGCAATGTACAAAGTCCAAAGAGATGCCTAAGAAAGTGATTTGCTTCAATTGTAACAAAGAAGGACACATTGCAAAGAATTGCAGGGCTCCTAAAGCAAAGAAACCCCACCCCTTTCAGCCAAAAGGGGAAAAGAAGGGGAAATGTGAATGCACATGGTTACTGCAAGAAAGGAACTTAGCTGTCCAGAATCGTGAAAATAAACGTAACAAATGGATTTTAGATTCAGGTGCCAGTTCGCATTTTTCATATAAAAAGGACTATTTTAATGAGATTAATGAAATAAATGATGAAGAAGGATCTGAAATTGAGATTGCAGATGGCAACATTGTTAAAGCAAAAGGTGCAGGTTCCATGAGCCTGAAATGCAATATAAACAATGAATGCATTGAGAACACAATCTCTAGAGTTTTGTATGTTCCAGAGCTGAGTTGCAATTTAATCAGCGTGTCCATTTTGGACAAGAAAGGTTTCCAGGTCACATTTGGAAATGGAGAATGTAAAGTGACTAGAAATGGCAAGGTGTTTGCTCAAGCAAAGCTAATAAATGGTGTATATGAGCTTGATCTTTCAGAGAACCAGTCTGCAAAAGTGGCACATTCCAGCCAGAAGGATGAAGCAGATCTGGACTTATGGCACTGAAGGCTAGGACACAGAGACGCCAGCCTCATTCTGGATCTACAGAAAAGAAATCTTGTAAGAGGTTTGCAGGTAAAGCAGAGCAACAAAGCTCCAGCAAAGTGCATAAGCTGTATTACTGAGAAGGCTGTAAAACCTTCATTTCCACGTTGTGCAGAACAAAGAAGCAACAAAGTGCTTGACATAGTGCACACTGACATATGTGGACCCATGAATGTTCCCTCACTGGGAAAGAATAGATACATTTTAATATTTCTGGATGACTTTTCAAGATTTTGTGTTGTATATTTCCTCAAAGAGAAGAGTGAGACAGTGGACAAGCTCCAGGAATACATTGCCATGGTCAAGAACAAATTCCAGAGAGCTCCAGCTGTGTTAATGAGTGACAATGGAGGTGAGTACTGCTCAAATGAAGTGCAGACTCTCCTGGCCAGAGAAGGAATTGCACACGTAACCACAATTCCTTACACACCACAGCAGAATGCCATAGCTGAGAGAAAGTTTAGGTCCATTATGGACATGACAAGGTGCATGCTAAAGGATGCACGTTTGCCACACAAGCTGTGGGCGGAAGGAGTGTACACGTCGGTCTATTTGCAGAATAGACTGCCAACTAAAGGTGCAGAGCGCACACCATTTGAACTTTGGCATGGGAAAGCTCCCAATCTGTCGCACATACGTGTGTTTGGAAGTCCGTGTTACTTCCACGTGCCCAAGGAACACAGACACAAGCTTGACTCCAGGGCAAAAGCAGGTAGCCTTGTGGGATATGCTTCTGGAGGCAAAGGATACAGAATTATGGACTTACAAACTGGTAAGACAAATGCATACCATGCGGTTTATTTTGATGAATATGGAAAAGTAGACACTAAGAACACTGTTGTGGATTCTTCAGATGAGTCAGAAAGGACTCAAGAGTTTGTATATTTCCCTTTTGAGACCCCACAAAGTAATTATCTGCCTTCGAGTGTTACAGCGCCCCCTACAGGCGATGCACCAGAAGACGCAGAGGACCAGAACCCTGGCGGCACCAGAGACGAAGATGAGGACTCAGATGGGGACATGCCTGCGTTGGAGGAGGATGAGGAAGCTGATGCGGTCGCAGAACCAGAGGTCAGACGCTCATCCAGAACCAACAGAGGTGTCCCACCAGTACGGTTGTCCTACCTTGCAGGGTCGGCGTTTCCACAGGAACCTTCCACTTGGGAAGAGATACAGGAGATGCCAGCTGCAGAAGCCAGTCTCTGGAGGAAGGCCGCGCAGGAGGAGATGGATGCACTGCATCAGAACAAGACCTGGACACTCACTGAGCTGCCTCCCGGTAAGAAGGCCATTGGCAGTAAATGGGTTTTCAAGGTTAAGAAGGGGTCAGAAGGAGAAGTGCAGCGCTACAAAGCTAGACTTGTGGCACAGGGATTTTCACAGCGTTTTGGTGAAGACTATGATGAAGTTTTTGCACCAACTGTGAGGTACAGCAGCGTAAGAATGCTTTTAAGCATTGCAGCCTCCAAGAAAATGAGGGTGAAACACATTGACATTGCTACCGCTTTTCTACATGGGCAGATTTCAGAGGAAATTTACATGAAGCAGCCCAAGGGTTTTGTAAAACCACATGAGGCACATCTAGTGTGCAAGCTGCAGAAAGGACTTTATGGACTTAAACAGGCTGCTAGAGCCTGGAACCAGAAGTTGCATAAAATGCTGACGCAACTTGGGTACAAGCAAGGCGATGCTGACAAGTGCTTGTACAGTAAGTCAAATAATGGACAATTCTCATATATCCTAGCATTTGTTGATGACCTGATTATTGCCACAGCAAGTGAGAAAGACTATACACAGATAGTAAAACACCTTAGCAAGGAGGTGGAGGTCAAGGAGCTAGGAGATGTCCAGTATTACCTCGGGATTCAGGTGGAAAGAGAAGAGGACGGATCATTTCTTCTCAGCCAAAGACAGAAGATCCACGAGCTAGTTGAGCACATGCAGATGCAAGACGCACATCCAGTTGCTACACCGATGGCTACTGACTTCCTGAAGAATCAGCAGGATTCGAAGCAGTTGCCAGACAACAATGACTACAGGTCGGCGATTGGTAAACTTTTGTATTTAGTTACCACATGTAGACCTGACTTAGCTAATGCTGTGGGGATTCTTAGCAGAAAAGTGAATTTTCCCACTGAGCATGATTGGGCAGGTGTAAAGAGGGTGGTGCGATATTTGAAGGGTACCATGAATTGTAAATTAAGGTTACCAGCTGTCAAAGACCCTAAGTTGGTTGGGTATACAGATGCTGATTGGGCTGGGGATAATGCTGACTATAAATCAACGAGTGGTCATGTTTTCATGTTTGGGGATGGACCTGTTGCATGGGGCAGTTATAAACAGAGCTGTGTAGCATTATCTTCCACAGAATCAGAATACGTTGCAGCAACAGAAGCCTGCAGAGAGATCGCCTGGCTTGATCAACTCATAAAGGACTTTGGGTTGGTGAGAAAAGGGCCTGTCAGCTTGCTAGAGGACAATCAGAGTTGCCTGAAGCTGACGCAGAGTGAGAAGTTCCTGGCCAGAACAAAACACATTGGGGTTAAATACCACTACATACGCCAGATGATCCAGGATGGACTTGTGGAACTATCCTACTGCAGCACCCAAGAAATGACTGCTGACATCCTGACGAAACCCCTACCAAGAGAGAGTTTCCAGAATCTACGTGTCAAGCTGGGACTCTGGGTGGTTGAATAAAGTTGTTTATATTTTGTATATGTTGTATTGCCTGAGAAGGGGTATGTGGGATGTAAACACAGGAGCAGTCAATGACAACATTCCTAGAGTGTACATGTTTAGAACATGGGGGGGATGTCTGTCCAGCAAGCAGGTAAACTTCCTGGGGACGGACTTCCTCCGCATGTGACCAGAGGTGGGTGTGGCCTCACCTGTGCAGGTGATGACAAAAAGCACAGGGCAGGCAGCCATCTCTCTCTCTCTGCCATTTTCCTTCGACGAGGAAACACCTAAGGATGCCCTCTTGGCTCCCAGCCAAGAGAGGAGATAAGGCCTATCTTGCTATGAGATAGATTCTAAATCTATGTAACCTTTTTTAAGCTGTGCCTTCTGGGATCACATTGTGAACAGGACGTGAGTAAACTCTTTTATACTTTTATGAAGACTGTGTCGTGTCTTGTATTTTAAGAGGGAACTAAAGGGGAAATTACCAGGGTAATTATTATAGAGGTTCTAGCGAACCTGTGCACACGTTACCGTTGCGTACCTAAAGGGGAATGTATGTAAACTCTGCTGATATTTTGGGAACTTGTTAGCACAAGTTGGATTAGGATATAATCTCACAATATATCCTCTCCTGCACCCCAGAACATTCCCACAGGCTGCCCCTGTGCCTGGAGGTTCTGTTGGTTAATGGCCTTCGCAAAGGGGGCCCATCGAGTCCAGCGCCCTGTCCTCGCTGTGGCCAGCCAGACGCCCCAAAGGGACCTGAGCAACTCTCCCCTGTTTGTTCCCCATTGCCTGGTATACAGAGGTAGATTGCCTCTGGGCGGGGAGGTTCTACTATCACAGCAGGCCTCCGATTGGAGGTTCTGTTTTACAATCCTGAAGACCCCCCCCCCCCGAGTCCAGCTTCCTGTTCTCTCAGTGGCCCAATTGGGGGAAGAAAGGAAGTCTGCAGGCAGGACCTGAGTGTGCCAACTCTCCCCAGCCCAGTTGGACTGGCATGCAGATACATTCACTGCCTCCGCCAGGGCAGGGAGAACAGAGCCATAGCAGTTACAAGCTGATGACAGCCTTACCTTCCTCTGTGAATTTTCATAATCCTTTATAAGAGCGTTGGAGGAGCCTGGCTACAGCTGGGTCAGGCCAGTGGGGGCCCATTCAACCCACCTGAGGGATGTGGCCCTCCAGACCTCCCTTATCTGGCCCTTGGAAATCTCCCCAGGGTGGCGAGAGGGGTGTGTGTGTGTGTGTAGAAAGCAATCTATCCTGGGAAGGCAAAATTTGCATGTGTTGCCCCACCCACTTTTGCCTCTGGCCCCACCCACCACTGGCATGCGGCCCCCAGCTGCTGCCACAGAGGAGAATGTGGCCCTCAGCTGGAAAAGGTTAAAGCAGCACACCTTGACCTCAGATCTCCGCAAGGTTTCCCAACTGAGAACAGGATGTTGGCCTAGAGGGGCCATTGGCTTGATCCAGCAGGGCTATCCATATGGATGTCTACTGTGATAGCAGAACCTCCATGTCCAGGAGCCGTCTACCTCTGAATACCTGATGATGGGGAACAACAATTAGCTCAGGGGCTGCTGGGGGGCTTCCCATTGGGGCATCAGGTTGGCTCCTGTGAGAACAGGATGCTGGACTAGATGAGGCCCCCACCCAGGCCTCATCCTGCAGGCTTTTCCATTCTTATGTTCCTGCAAAACACCACCTGTTGATTATTGCAGATCAGGCTGCAGAGGAATGCAGACCCTGGATGTTTTCCTGCCTAGCTGATTTCACAAACCTCACTTTGTGCTTGTTAGAAGTGTGTGTGTGAGAGGGGGGGGGTCTTTGCCCCACACCTTGTGGCAATGTTCTCTCCCCCTCCCCCTGCCCCTTTCCTCCCCAGGAGGGGGCAACCTCAGATGTCAGTCAACGCAAGGCCTCAGGGACTCAGCGGCTTGTCTTCAGGTTGCCTGGAGGTGGGGAGGGGGCTGCCTGTGTGATTTATACATAACAGACCAATAAATTACCTGGATGAGGCCTGGGGGACCCATTCCTCACACCAGCCGTGCAGAGCCTGATGCCAGAACCTCTCCAAAAAAGAGAGAGAGAGAGAGAGAAGGAATTGTTTCCAACAATTAGCTGAAGATGAGGCAAAGACAAGAGAGGAGAGTTAATTCTGGGGGGGGGGGGTGGAGCTCAGTACCCCCCCAACCCCACACTCCTTCTTACTTAAGTTTGTGCCTTTTGGGGGTCTCTAATGGTGCCCCAGTTCAGTCAGGAAGGAAATGCAATACGAGGGGAGCCTTTCTTCGCAATGCACGGTATTCATTTGTTTTGTTTTGAAATTCATTTATTTATAAGTTCAATGGGACACAGATACTTCTTTGTCTCACCATTTGCTCCTCGGAACAATCCTACAAGGTAGGTTAGAAGAGTAAGAATTGTTGGAAGGGGGTCCCCCAAGGGCCATCTAGTCTGACCCCCTGCATTGCAAGAATCACAGCCAAAGGATCCCTAGCAGGTGGCCACCCAGCCTCTGTTTAAAGACCTCCAGGAAGCAGAGCCCACCCACTTCCAAGCTAGTTTGTCCCACTGACTGTCAGAATGTTCTTCTTGATGTTGAGTCGGGCCAGGATGAGAGATGGCAACTGGCCCAAGGTCACCCAAGAGAGCCTCTTGGCTGAGCAGGGACTTGAACCCAGGGCCTCTCAGGTTCTAGGCTAGCACTCCGACCGCTACACTGCCGCTGCCTCTTTGTCTGGCACCTTGACTCAGAAGTATGAGTCAAGTTTTGTGTCTGTGGCGCTGCCTCACCAAGTCTCGGGCCGTTTTGTCCTGCTGGCTCAAGGAGCTGCTTCTATGTTTTTGAAAATGTGGGAATGGAACCAGGGAACTTCTGGATGCAGGACCAGACTCCTTGCTTACCCAACCCAGTACTGTCAGCTCTGACCGGCAGCGGCTCTCCAAGCTCTCAGGGCAGAGATGTCTGCCTTTTGCAGACCTGTTGCACCTTGAGCCTTTATAACTGGAGACGCCACTGGGGATTGGACCCGGGATCTTCTGTCTGCAAAGAGGGTCCATGCAATGCAATGCAGGAACAGGGCCTTGTGTGTGGTGGCACCTCCTCCTTGCAATATTAGACATCTCTGTTGCCATTTTGCTGCCTCCTGAAGATCTCCATCTGCACTGGAACAAATTTCAGACTGCTTTCATACGTGATATTTTTTGGTAAAATGGTTTGTATCATTTTCTATATATGGAATCATTACGGAAGTGTTTTAATTGGATCTAAACATTTGTTTTACATTTGTGCCTATTTCCCCCCCCCCCCCCCCGTTTTACAGTTCCATGCCTTATTGTTGTCGCCCCTCCCTGGGACCTTGGGGGTAAAGGCGAGAAAGTGAATAAAAGTAAATGAAGAGCAGCTGCTCCACTGCTGAGATGCGGCTCAGTCCCCAACAGCATCTTCAGGTAGGGCTGCGAACGTCCCTGCCTTAAATCCTGGAGAGCCATTGCTGCCGATCACTGTAGGCAATACTGAGTTAGGTGGACCCAGTGGTCTGATTCAGTGTAAGGCAGCTTCCTCATAGAATCAAAGGAATGCAGAGTTGGAAGGGATACCCAAAGGTCATCCAGCCCAACCCGCCACAATTGCAGGAATCTCAGCTAAAGCATCCAAGACTCTGCTTAAAAACCTCCAAGGAAGGACTTGGGAGTGAGTCCGTTCCACTGTCAAACAGCTCTTACTGCCAGAAAGTTCTTCCTATGTTTCTGTTGAACTCAGTCCTTCATTAGGAACCATGAAGAGTGGAAGCCTACCTTATTCTGAAGGAAAGGAGTGTTGCCTAGTGGTAGGAGGTCTCACGTTCAATTCCTGGCAGCATCCCCCCCCAAGTGGTGAGGGATGTAACATAAGCCGTCAAGTGCAATGCTTCCTGTTTGCCTAGAGTGGACACAGAGAGGGGGGTGTTGATCCAGCCAGTTGAACTTCCTGTTCCACCTGGAGCATCCTCTCCCTTTATGTGACCAGGTAGGTGGGCGTGACTTCTTCTTACTTTTGAAAGAAGCTTGTTTTGTCTTTATTCTTTTTAGGAGGGACAAGAGAGGTCTTCCCAGGAACAGAACCCAATCTGAACAAAGCCATATTGGATTGCTTAAGTAAAGAGTTTCAAAAGAATCTACCAACTCGCTTCCTGCTGTATATTGGGGAATGCACTCTGCAGTTGACTCACAAGCATGAGTTAGGAAGGATACTATTAAATCAATATATCTTCTCCTAGTATCTACAACATTCCCACAGGTAGGACTGGGAATGTTCCCTGCCTGAATTTCTGGAGAGCCACTCAGGGGCAGTACTGAGTTAGATGGACCCAAGGACCTGACCCAGAATAATAATAATAATAATAATAATAATAATAATAATAATAATAATAGCCCAGCTATTCTGATTTAAACCTGTCCTTTATTTGGAATTGTGACTCGCTTCCTATGCTCCAGATGAAACCAGCCCTTCGTTAAGAACCAGGAGGACTGGAATCTAACTACGGAAAGGGACGTTACTCAGAGGCCTCAGTCTCAACCCCTGGACTCTCCCGAGTGCAGCTTTTCTGAAACTCTGGAGACTTGAACTCTGGATAACGCCGCTTCCTCTGATCAGCCGCCCTGGTTCCCAGCCATGCATACAGAACCAACAGTGAGATCATCGGATGCCTTCAAAGCCGGGTTCTGCCTCCTGCCAAATAATGTTCCTCCTCTCTGCATATTTGGCAAACTCCTCGCTTTGCACCCATTGCTGAGCACGGGGGGTGGGGTGGGGGGAGTGGTGGGAGCATCCCATAATCTCTGGTTCGGAAAAGGACTTTGCCTCCAACCTGTCCTCTCCAGGTGGCCCACCCAAAGGTGATGGAGTATCATTTGGAAAAACCTCTTCCTCCATCTCCTTCGATCATCCCAGAGATATTATCACAAAGGGCGGTCGTAGCCGGAGGGGAAGAGGGCCAGCTCTGCCTGGTGAGAAGGTCCACGATTCAGTCTCTGGCAGGTAAGGTTGGGGAAGAATATCAGAAGAGCCTCCTGGCCCATTCAGTCCAGCATCCTGTTCTCACAGCAGCCAACCAGGTGCCCACATGGGAAGCCCCACCTGCAAGCAGGATTTGAGCCCAAGAGCAGCACTCTCCCCTCCTGTGGTTCCCATAACTGGTACTCAGAAGCGTGGCTGCCTCCATCCAGATCAGTGGCCTTCACTGCTCCCTGTGGCAGGGAGTTCCACAGTTTAACTCTAAAACTGCCCTGAATCTTCAAACATTCCATTTCATTGGATGACCCTCCTGAGTTTTAGTATTACATTGAGAAGTTTATGCACTTTCTCTACGCTCTGCAAAGTTTTATATTTCAACTAAACATCAGGAAGAACTTTCTGCCAGTAAGAGCCGTTCAACAGTGGAACAGACTCTCACGAGAGATGGTGGACTCTCCTCCTTGTGGGTTTTAAAGCAGAGGTTGGACAGCCATCTTTCCTGAATCTCAGGGGGTCAGACTAGATGAGCCTTGGGTCCCTTCCAGTTCTACAGTTCTCGGATTCTAGGATTCAACAGGTACAAATATTATCACATTTATTATTAACATAAAATTAAGACCACACATTCATTTCATACCCTGTGTAAAGGTTTTCAGCCAGTTTGCCCCTTGCTGGGGGGCCCAGAAAAAAAATTCACTGGGACTCGAGCCCGCCATTGTTGGCCTGGGAGAGCCTTCCTTTTAATGAAGGGGCATCGGGTCAGAACAAAACGTTGTTGAAGATCTCTCCATTGCCACAAGCTGAAGAGGAGGAGGGTGGCGGCCGTCCTTGCGGAAGGATCAGTGAGAAAGGGAAATGCAAGAATCTGAGATCTGTCCGCGAAACCTCACCGGCATCAGAGCCCTGCTGGGTCAGGGCAAAAGGCCCTTGAGGCAAACTTCCTGTTTCTCACCAGACGCCACAACAGGAAGTCCAGCAAGCAGGACGCGGCAAGGCCTCCTCACGTTACCGGTCCCTAGAAAGTGCAAAGCCATCATGTGGCAGTGAATTCCATAAGTTGGCTATGCAATGGGGAAAGGAAGACATCCTTTGGCCTGTCACAAGGGGGGAAATCCCCTACCATTGTTTCACAACAACGTTATAGCACTGGCTGACCATCGGGCAAATAAATTCGGCCACCATCTGTTTGGCAGTCTGCTGAAGATGCAGTCTCTCTAATGGGGTCTCTTTAACAGAGGCAAGATTTGCCCAAAATTGAGGAGGAGGGCTATTAGTCCAGAGGTGTGGGGGGGGCTGCCTTCCCTTCTAGGTCCCCTCCCAGGGGCCTGTATGTCAGTGGTGGGCTGGACAACAAAGGCACATTTCACTCTTTTAAAAAATGCATTTTCATGTTTTACTTTAAATAATCTCGACAACGCATCAACAATCAACATAATACACAAGTAAGTGGGAGTCACAACTGGAACATAAGTACATAAACAGGTTTGAGGTTGTCTGTTGGTTTTTTACAATCAGAAGGTGCCAAGTGTCTTGCCCTGCTTTCCTTTGGACCATATTGTCGTCTGGGCAGCCCAGGACCTCCAGACACACTGGCCAGGCTTGTGTCTCGGGGAGGTCACTGCGCTGCAGCTTGACCCTTGGAGGTGCACTCCGTTGTCTCTCGAGACAGATGGATGTCATCAAGGTGCATAAATGTTATAGAATGATAATTAAAATCAAATAACTGTCCCAGAGCAAATTTTACTTCTGTACAGCAGGCAAGTTTCTACCCACACTCACCCACCCACCTGTCTCTCTCCATCCTCCTTCCAGAGAAGAAAAGGATCAGAGTCCAAGGAGGGGAGTGGCCTGGGGAGAGGTCCGAGGGCCGGAGAGAGAGGCCTCTGGAGGGCCGCATTTGGGCTCTGCCCTGGAGGCTCCCTGGCTCAGTGGGGGGGGGGCGCCAAGCAGGGGCGTAGGAAGGGGGCGGGCCGCCCCGGGTGCCATCATGGAGGGGGGGGGTTTGACAAATTATCAAGTAACAATTACTGCCCTACTAGGGCAGTTCATAAAAACTAAAAAAAAAAAAGCCTGCTCCAAAGGTCTTCTCTTACTACACTAGGGATTACATAGCTATATATGAAATTTCATGCATGTCAGTTAATATCTTGACCCTCCTCCACGAAAATAGCTGCTTACTTGGCCGTTTTCCTATGTCGTGAAGGCTGAAATTTCAATTCAGTGGAGCACTTACTGTTCCCAACCCTAACCCTGCAGAAAGCCATCCAATTAGACTTTAATTTGATTTTGACATGTTTTTAGGAGGTAATTTAATTATTGTTTGATTTTATACCAATGTTATGTATCTGATGTTAGCTGCCCTGAGCCTGACTTTGGCCGGGGAGGGTGGGATATAAATAAAAGATGATGATGATGATGATGATGATGATGATTTCCTTTGTAAGAAAATATGACATAACTTAGAACCATTTTTGCAGGCTAAATAAATAAATAAATAAGTGTGTGTGGGGGGGTGACAAGAAATTTTCCACACTGGGCACCACCTGACCTTCCTACGCCTCTGGCGCCAAAAAGGCCAGTCTGGGTCTTCTATATACCAGTTTGCACGCAAGTGGGTGGTAGAGACCCCTAGAAGCAGGGTTTGCAATTAGCAGAGCACCAGCCACATTTTGCACCTAAAGATTCTCCATTTGTGAGCACCTCAAAGAGTCTGGGTGCCATTTATATATATATATTTTTTGCGCCTGGTTGACACTCAAGGATTCCTGAAATGTATGTGCTTTGAAGCCTTGAAGTATATGCTAAAGATAGGCAATATGTTAAGGAATGTAACAATAAAGAGTGTTTTGAAAACGGAAGTATGGTACCTATATTTTTATTGTCAACACCAAATTAAACATGTATTAACAATTTCTGCTAAAAATGTGATATTAACAATGTGTTACTTATGTGAATTGCATATTAATTCAGGCTTATCAAAAGTAATAAATAAGAAGTGGTGACTGGACATTTCTCTTTTGGCGTCCACAGCCAGCTTCCAGGAGCCGTTTGGTTTCTAACGGTTTCCCAGTTTCTAACGCTGCCTGGAGAGGGTTACCTGGGGGGCTGCTAAGAGGCAGTGGGTGCTGGAGCTGTTAGACTTTGAAAAGTTGGACCGATTTCACCTGCTATGTTGAATTAATCAAACTAAATAGTTCTCATTGGCTTTTGAATAAACGTTCAATTAATTGTTACTGTTCTGATTTTTACTGCATTCTGGTCTTTCCTTAGTGGGTCATACAAATCACTATTCTGAATAATTCTTTTAAGAAGGCAGGGGATGAAGAACTTAGGCAACCAAGCCGGGGGGGGGGAGTGTGGCCCATCACAAAATTTGGGAACCACTGATTCTCAAAGGACACGCAGGCTGCAGTCTCCGAACCAGAGGAGCAGAAGTTCTTGTGCTCGAATGCTGCTTGTGGGTTTCCCAAAAGAGGCACCTAGGTGGCTACTGTGAGGGCAGGATCCTGGACTAAATGGCCTCCCTTTGGCCTGATCCAGCAGCCATGATCTTCTGAGCTTCTTAACTTCTTAAGCAGGGTGCAAACCATGGTGTCAGGTTAAGTCCTGCAGCCTCACAGCCTCCCAGGGACTTCAGGGCCCTTGTGGGCTTGGAGACCTGCTTTTTTGTGCTTTGTTTCCCCTTAAGAAGCAGCCCTGCAGGGGTGCAACTCTGCACAGAGGCAGGGGGAGCTTGGACAAGGCTGTGGTCGCGTGTGGCGCAGTGGGAAAGGGGAAACGAAAGCTGTCAGCCTCCACACATTCTTTCTCGCTTGGTCCAGACCCCACGCCATTTCCACAACAGGAGAAAAAGCCAGCCTGACCTTACCCTGGGCCAAAGCCACCCCCAGCCTCATTTGCGGCACTTCTGGGCAGGCAACCAACAAGGGCTCATCCAGCCTTGTTCCCGACCAGGAAACGACGAGGGAAGCATGGGGCGTTGTTTAGGATGGATGTGTGTCAAGAAGGATTCAGCAGAACCAGGGTCATGGGGTGGGGTTTTTTCAGACTGAGGGCCACACTGCCTCGCTGGCAACCTTCTGGGGGCCACATGGCAGCAGTGGGTGGGGCCAGAGGGAAAAGAGGGCGGAGCCACAGGTGTGATTTGTACTTTTGTATACAAAA